AAAAAAACAACAAAAAAACCAAAAGCTCCCGTTGGTAGAATGGTATACCTTACTACCTAACTATAACTAACTTGACTTAAACGTCAAAGTCAATCTAGTTAGCAAGCAAACCCCAGTCTCGTCACAACAACTGGTGCAGCAATCCGTGGCACATTCGATGGCGGGCACACCGGTCTCTGTATTTGGCAAGCAGTCAGCAACAACCAATGAAGTGCCTCCATAATTATCAACATAAGCAGCAGAATGACATACAGATGCTGGAACAGTGCCGGTGAACTGATTCCCATCCACTGCCAGTTTGGTCAGCTTAGTCAACTCTTCAATCTCATTGGGAATTGTGCCGTGCAAGTTGTTGTTGGACACATGCAGCCAAAATAGACTTGTCAAAAGACCAAGTGATGAACTGATAGTCCCAGAAAAGTTGCAGTTATTGCCAGAAAAAGCACGAAGGTCTGTGAGTCCGGTGTACATTTCTTCCGGGAGTGTCCCTTGCATGTTGGTAAAGGACAAATCAATCTCCTTAAGTGTGCTCAGCAGGGCAATCTCTGAGGGCAAGGTTCCTGCAATGCCAGTGTGACTCAAAAAGATATAATGCAGGTGCGTTAGCAATCCAATTTCACTTGGCAGGGTGCCCGTAAGCTTCATGAGAAGGAAGGATTGAGGAATGAGGCCAAAGGTGAGATTCTTCATGGTTTGGGCTGCTTGTGCAACAAAAGAGGATGTCAATAACTCACATCGTTTTGAGCAAAATCTAGATTCTTAAAAGAACCCATGTGGAAAAATTCCAGTGGCAGAGACCCTGTCAGTGAATTTTTCCTGAGACCAAGGCTCTTCAAGGGGGAAATCCCCACTTCAGAGGGGATTGTCCCAGTCAGTCTGTTTGAAGAGATTTGAAGATTGACGAGTTTTGCATTTCCTTCATGGAGAGTTTCAAACCATCTGGCAGGGAGGGGTCCGGAGAGTTGGTTGTTGCCCAACATCAGCTGTTCCAATGAAAAAGAGAGCAGCTTTGGTGGAAACACTCCACTCAGCACATTGTCATTCAAATGTAGCTGTTTCAGGTGTGGCAAGAGTGCAATCTCCCATGGAAGAGGGCCATTGAGCTGATTCCACCCTGAAGAATACATTCCTATGTGTAAGAAACAATGATGCAATCCACCTGTCTGGCCTAAAAGACTTACGCATTCGTAGCTCAACAACTGTCCTCTCTTTTGACAACACAGTCTCACAGATCACTCCAGCCCACTGGCATTCATGACGGAAGAGAGCCACTGATCACCCCAGATGGATGATGTTGTGTCCCCTGTGAAAGGATCAAGCCTATAGCAGAAATTACCTGATGCACTTCCTTGGGGAGTTGCTGGTGATTGCACTCCTGTTCGAAACTCGAAACTGTAACTAGTTAGTAGTCCCACGACCTTGAAGAATGGGAGAAAAATGCTGGAACACCTTGACTTTTAGTCGAGGAGACAGAACTAGGGAAACCCTCTGCAACGAACCATGTATCATATCAGTGACGGCTCATCACCCAACCCCAAAGGCTCATTTGCATGGATCATTAGCAAAAATGATGGCACACGCCTAGCCCGCTGCTGTGACCAGCCTTCGGTTACAAAATCAACTCCTACAGAGCAGAAGATACGGAATCCTCTCAGCAATGAGGTTCTTAGCACAGCTCCAAAAGATTCATTCACCCAACAAACAAGAGATTCTCACCAAGCATGAGCACCTCTGTGACAACAAAAGCATCGGAGAAGTAGTCACCAAGCACACTCATTTCACAAAATATACCCCAACACCACACTGGGCTCTGAGTGGGACATCATTGCAGAAATCAGACACACAATGTTAGAAGACCTCGACGAAGCATCCAGCCCTCAATCCATCACATAAAGGGACATCAAGACGACAACAAACAATATGACCAACTCCCGCTGAAAGTCAGCTGAATGTAGATGCCGATAAGATAAGCTAGCCGACACATGGCTCCAAGCTCACTCGGACACCGACTTCACCAGAGTTCCCATCTTACCCACCAGTGGATGCCAAGTTGAACTGAAACAAGGAACAGTCACATTCAATCTCAAACAAGAACTGAAATATGCCAGAACCTACCCACTGCTCAAACAGAAATTGATGAAAGACTACAACTGGTCAGAAGACACATTCAATGACATTGACTGGACCGCACATGGAAGAGCTTTGCGAAGACACGATAATCATCGTCCAACAATTGTCAAATACCTCAACAAAGTCCTACCTGTCGGAGCATTCCTCCATAAAACAAACCCCAAGTATTATGCAGGATGCCCATCATGCAACAACCCTTCAGAAACAAGGCACCATCTGATGGAATGCAGCAGCCCTGAAAGAATCAAATGGCGCGAGAAATGCTACAGTGCAGTCCTAGCATATGTCCAGAAAAAGGACACCTCTCCAAAAATTCAGGGGCTTCTCCTATCAGGCCTCAAAGTATGTTTACATCACCAAAACCCAACAACAATCCAAGAAGATCCTTCATGGGACACACGGAAACAAGCACAAGATGCCATTGGATGGCATCATCTGTTAAAGGGGAGAATCTCTAAACAATTCAGTCAGGAACAAGACCGATATTTGAACATGAAAAAGACCGCAATCAAACGCAACAATGGACTCACATGGCTCACTGGACTCATTGACATTATCTATAAAGAATGGTGGAAACTCTGGGACATGCGCAACCAAGACAGACATGGGCACGACATGAGAACCAAGTCACAAGCAAAGAAAGCACAAGCAATCCGACAACTCACTCAGTTCTACGAAGCATACCAGCAAGAAGTCCCCGAACATTTGGAATGGCTATTCCAGATACCACTCGAATCGCGCATGCAACTGAATACACCAGTCATCATTCAATTTTTGAACACATGGGAACCTGTGTTACAAGAGAGTCACTACACCACAGCCCTGGAAACAGGTTAGTCGGACATTCCTACCATCCCTTTTTCCTTACCCCTCCTACCCCCTCAAACTTCTTTACCAACCCCAACTCTCTTCAACAAAGAGCTCGTGATTTGTGGTGAATCATGGCTCCGACCTCAGTGTACAAATCCTTAGATAGCTAACAGGCGTCGCACCCTCTCAGGAGGCCAGTGTGGCCGGTGAGCAGACTTGACTGTGGGAAATACCCGAGCCTTAGCTCGTGGGTAGTCCTCAAGCACATCTCGTCTGAATCCGTTATTAGACGTTCAGTTTTTTTTTAGTTAGTTAGTCCCAGGGAAAGTACTGTACAAGTGTATATCTTTGAAGTTCCTATGGGTTAGAGTGGACAATGGGATGCTACTGTATGGTACTATTTCACCTCCCGCGCTTCCAAAATGTGTACAGTACCGGTATCGGATGGGAGACGTTACCACGAGCTAGAGCGGACTATAGTGAGGATGGTTTGCAGCAGAGAGGAGGGCAGGATGCGAGTACAGTATACAGTAACGAGATTTGTCTTGCGTATATTTGCTTCTCTGGCTTCAAGTCTTCAGGAGGTAGTGACTAAATGATGCGGCTGTTGTCAATGGACTTGGAAGATGAAGCCGCCGAATGTGTCACACTCATACCACTAGTAATTTACGCCACACAAAAAGAACTCACCATGGCACCTCTTCGGAACAGTTGTTGTGGTCGGCTCAAACCGTCGATCCGTAGAAGTGTCGCAGCAAGTCGATCGATTGAACATCGCTTCGATAGATCGTTGCTCCGTTAGATCGAACTCTGCATGGAGTATAGTAGCTTTGTGAAAGAGGCGCCGTGGAAGAGGAGGAGGAAGAAAGAAGCCATGAACAGAATCAATCCGTCGAACGGAAGAACTTTTCATGGTGACGCTGCCGCCACTGTTGCCAGCCTACCGAAACAAACAAGAGGAGCCTGTCATGGTGGAGCCTCTTCAAAAGGAGTAGCCGCTACAGACTCCACAGTGGCGCGTCACGTCTACCGGGTACCCCAGCACTGCAACAGCGTCCATTCTCTTCAGTCCAGTTCCAGCCATAAATTCAACCATCTATTTTTTTAAATAAACGCAAAAGCTATGTCCTTTTTTTTTCTCCTCGACAATGGCCGACCACTAGACTACTGCAACAGTTGGCTTCGTGCGTGGGTAGCCGACAAGCCGCTCACTTCTTGTTGTTTTGTCATGCATGGGCGACCGTAAATGAAATGAGTGTAGTTTGGCTTTTCTGTGTGGAAGCAATTTCTGAGTACAGTACTGTACTGTACTAGTACCACTGTTCTTTTATTAATTAAAGGCCCCATGCCATAAAAGCCTTAATTAAGGGCACATACCAGGTGGTGTGTAATCCGACAGTGGTAAAATTAATTGCAAAATCACCATGTGCCGATGCTTCTTTTTCAAAAAGTGACGTTCTTGCATTCTTTACTGTATGATACTGTATTTATTTCCGTCCGCTACAGATCATGTTGGTTGTGTTGGGGGGGACAAGAAGAATGGTCATAGTTATGCTGTAAGCTAAGCCGAGGGCGACACTGTCTTGGATGTTGATGTCCACATACATGATGCAGATGCATACACATGTCCACGGCAACGCCGCTCGGCTGGCTTTCTAACAGCCCCCTCACATCTCACACCATCGATCGATCTGTTCGTCTTTTGTCAAAGCTCCTGGTACATATAGCTTCCGGAGGAACGATGGTGATAGTTAAGCTTTAAAAGCCTGTGGCCACACTGTCTTGGATGTCAACTCCCTCCCACCTCTCAGTTCTCACGTTCTCGTGTGCCTCCATCTATCGTCGATGGTCACTCTGGAAAACTAGATGAACTGCCGCAGATGACCTGATACTTCATTTTTCGTTTGTATTCCACATCGAATACTGCACCGTAGTACCATGGATTCCAATCCCAGCACACTACATGACCAACCGGAGCTGACAGCGGAGCTGATCGTGATGGGATGCTGCACAGTAGTACCATTCAACAACCACCAACGCAAGATGTAGAGTCTGTAGCGGAACCACCAAGGTTGATCAACGTCCCAAGTCCCGAAGACATGAATGCAATACACGGCTCTTAGCCTTATTCGCGACTCGATCCTAGATGGGGTTTGAGTTCGACTCATGACGTAGTCCTTCGCGAATAGTCATTGAGACAGGGTTCTCATGACTGCTAGTCATACTAGGTTGTCGATGAAACATCGCTCTAGATATTTAGCCGGCGTGGAAAGCTTCCACGCTACTAGACAGCAACTAGCTGAAGTTTCCACGTGTTCCGGAAATGGACCGTGGAGTACGTAGAGTTATTACCATAACCTACGATATCACACTTCGAAGCCTCCCGCGGGAGACCAACTTCAATGAGCTTCACAACGATCTCTTTCATGGATTAGTTTTCGTAGCTTTCTAATCTCTCTCATAACTTTCATTCTCTCAAACAAAAAACACTCGAAAGATCTTTACACTAGCTTTTAGCGTAGTGCATTTTGTTAACAAACACAATAGCTTTCAGCTACCCTCAACCTATTCCTTCGTCATGAAGATTGCTCAAGGAAAGCATGCGTTCAGCAACTTCGAGAAACAGTTGCGTGACAAACCCATTCTTCCTCTCGTCGACAATGACGAAGACACCGAGATCGACGATACTCGTGCAACCACCTACAAACTTTGCACCATTTCTGCAGATGCAGCCAGTGCCAAGTACACTTTCAAGGTAGCCATCATCAATGGCTCCAACACTCCACGTGAGACCATCAAGTGGGCCACGAATATGGAGAAGGTCTTCGTTGGACTGGTCCCGACGACAAACATCGTCTTCTCAAGGAGATGACTTCCAGCTCTGCAAAGAGTGCCTACGAAGCTGGGTGTGCAGGCAGTCGTGCCGTGCGTCATAACGCCCTTTGACAAATTGCTGTGAAGGCAATTCCTCCACGCGACGTAACTTCTGGAGAAACTGAATCTGCATTCCAGGCTCGTGTCCAGGCTGCATGGGACGGTGCAGCAGAACCCGCTCTAAGCGATGCTGACATCACCTTTGGAATCAACGCGGTTATCGAACAAGCCTGTCCTTACAAGGCTCTCGAAAAACAGAAACGCTTCATGCGTCGTAAGATGCACAAGCCTAGCGAGATGACAACTCGTGCCTACATCAACAACCTCACTCGGATGAACACCGATGAACTTCCACGTTTGCCACCTTTCGG